CAGGAATAGCCAACACCCCAGAAGATAAGCTGAGGGTCCAAAAAGATCTTGACAGACTTGAACAATGGGCCCTATCCAACAAAATGAAATTTAATGTGGAGAAAACTAGGTTTTACACCTGGACAGGGAAAATCAAAGGTACAAGTACAGATTAGGTGAAACATGGCTCAAAAACAGTAACTGTGAGAGAGAGCTTGGAGTCCTAGTGGACAATCTCTTAAATATGAGCCAGCAGTGTGAGGCAGGAGCCAAAAAGGCTAATACCATCCTTGGTTGTATAAACAGAGGCATAGAATCAAAATTACATGAAGTATTAGTACCGCTTTATAAATCCTTAGTAAGACCATACCTGGTGATTAAGGGCCTGGAGACAAAAACATATGAAGAATGGTTGCAAGATTTGGGAGTGGCCAGTCTAGAGGGAAAAAAAAGACTGGGGGGACGTGATAGCAGTATTCCAGTATTTGAGAGTCTGCCACAGGAAGAAGGGGGTCAATTTATTTTCTAAATGACCAGAAGGCAGGACAAGAAACAATGGATGGAAACTAATCAAGGAGAGAAGCAACCTGGAATTAAGGAGAAACTTTCTGACAGTGAGGATAATTAACCAGTGGAACAGCTTGCCTTCAGAAGTTGTAGGTGCTTCATTTCTGGAGGCTTTTAAGAAAAGACTGGACAGACACCTATCTGAAATGGTATAGGGTCTCCTACTTGAGCAGGGGGTTGGAATAGAAGAACTCCAAGGTCCCTTCCAGATCTGTTGTGATTGATTGCAGACCACCCTAGCAGGATACCTTGGAAATGTTCCCATTTCATAGCATGGATAGAAATAGATAGTAGCATTCTGTTCTTCTCTTTCTGTCATTCAAGATCAGGAGTCACTTGTGGTCACTACTGTAATAACAACTGAGGTTATCATCCTGAATGCCCAAAGACATTTATTCTTGCTGACCATATATAAACATCACTCAAACTGTAAATTTAAAATTACTTTGTGTTGTGTTGAAATATTTGTTTTAAAAAGATTTAAAACCAACTTCTTTTACTCTGGAACCATGCTATCTCTCCTTATTTTCATTTCACACAGTGTCAAGATTCTCCAGCCCAAGAGTAACCCCCAGACTCAGCAGGAAGCGAGCGCTTTCTATATCCCCCTTGTCTGATGCCAGCATTGATCTCCAGACCATGATCCGGACTTCACCCAATTCCCTGGTCGCTTATATCAATAATTCCAGAAGTAGTTCTGCCGCTAGTGGCTCTTATGGCCATCTATCAGCAGGGGCAATAAGGTAAGGGAAGATGAAATACCTCAGGCAATGAAATTCTCAACTTTTCAGTTTCTGGCACAATCCTTATCTACAGCAGAGATGGGTAATTCATTTTCCCCAGGGGCCAAACTGGGACTCTTGTGGAGAGCTGAACCAATGGGTGCATAGGCATGCACATGAGCACATACACATACTGTATTGGGGAAAAAATAAGAATTGCCTTCAAAATAAAAGCAATGCAATTGTATTGCATGCATGACCTAGGAGGGACCAGCCTACCAGGCCTTCAATGGCCTTAAGAGTCTACTGCAGAGGTCCCAACCTTTTGGGCACCAGGGACCAGTTTTGTGGAGAGAGATTTTTCTGCGGACCGGAAAATGTGTGGTTTTGTGTGCTGCCTGCATCCTGCCTATGGGGCTTTGCTTGTTTATGCGGACCGGTTGCTGGCATGCCACGGCCTGGGGGTTGGGAACCCCTGGTCTACTGCACCACTGGCAGGCCAAGGAGGGACCTACGGTATCTACCTGCCTTCCAAAGTGCAAGAGGGGCTGGCCTGCCAGGCTTGCAAAAGCACTTAACTTCCCCCTCAGTGGTACTTCTAGCAGAAAAGCCCTATTTAATTTTGGATCAGGACAACCAAGGGACCAGATGTGGCCCAGGAGCTATAAAATGCCCATGTCTTCTCTACAGTTAAAGCAACAGGCCCAGAATAAACATTTTCATTCTCTCACATTCAGTGGACCATATTTGTCTGGTTATTTTAAAAATGGAACTTGTGCAGATGTCTTGTTTGCAAACTGATCCCAAAGGCTTTTACTAGTAAACGGCAACGCCCCCCCCCCCCAAGCTTTTGGGCACAAGGGACCGATTCTGTGGAGGGAGGTTTTTCCGCAGACTGGAGGGGGTGTAGTTTTACATGCTGCCTCCATCCCACGGTTGGGGCTTCACTTGTTTGCGCGGCCCAGTTTCCGGTGTGCCACGGCCCAGTGCCGGTCCACGGACCGGAGGTTGGAGACCCCTGGTATACAGAGATGAAGCTATTCTCTGATTTCAGAAACCTAGAGAGGTATGGTCTTTTTCCATTAAATTGAAAGTGAGTACGTCTCAAGTGGATTATTTTATATGCTTCAGAAACTGCATCTCTGACAATTATAAACAAGTATTTAAAGTTTGTACCTATTTACCCAATTTATCAACAACTGAGCAATGTTATTTAAATTATTTTCTCTGATTATAAATGATTATAAATTAGATGAACCACTAATAAAAAAAATAATTAAAATGAGACCCTTCCTGGTGGTATGAGTAAATATTCTTTTTAAGCACCAGCACATTCTTGTACTTCGTTTGGTAGATTTAAAGGTTTTACATGTCCATTAATCCAATTTATAATTTATAGTAAGCAGTAATTTCCACATGTATAATTCGTCCCTTGAAGGATCCAAATAGCAGAAGCAGCAGGCCATTGAATGCCAGGAAACTGTAGTAAACAGTACACAATATCTCAATAGAAATACTGGCCTTGAATGATACATGGCTCCAAAAAATCTCTAGCGCCCATCAACAGTGATCTTCTGATAATCTTGGACTGACTATGTGTAATTCATGGTCAGCAAAGAGATAATATGCACCTGACAAAGGTTAGGTCCAGTGAGCTTTATCAGTCTCAGAAAACAAAACAAAAGAAGCACAAAGTCAAGGGAAATTGCCTTAAGGGGATTCCTTGGAAAAAACAGAATGCACCAAAAAATATATGTAATAATCTAAAGTTATTGTTCATTAGGGATCCATCTGGGTTAGTTCTGCCTTTTTTTGCAAACAAAGATTTTAAGATTCAGAAGCAAGACAGATGCGTGGGACAACCTGCTGCCTTGAGGAGGAGGAAGTAGCCCAGCCAGGCTGACTTCAGCTCAGCAACTGCCCTTACCAAACTTCAGAAATTTGTTGTAATTGTTTTTTTTTTTNTATACATCTCTCTATATAAATATATACATATATTCCCCTATATAATACAATCTCAAGCTTATTTCTCTACATATTAACATATAATTTTATATACCACAAACTTAAACTTTAACTCAAAACCCGAACAGTTCTTCTTGACTCATACCAGCAGTAAAATTTGTCCCAGATTCCAAAATAGTCCGTTTCCGTCTTGTCCTTTCGTTCCATAGTTAGCCTGTCCATGTCCGGACATGATAAAAAATTTTGTAGAATCTCTTCTTCAGTAGGAATTTCTTTGTTTCTCCAATTTTGTGCATAGGTCAGTCTGGCGGCCGTGAAGATGTGTAGCATTAGGTAGAGTGTCCCTTTATCATATTTTTGTATAGTAATACCAAGTAGGAAGAGTTCTGGTTTTAGTTCTACCTCTGTTGTTAAATATTTCTTCTAACCATTTTTGAACCTTGTTCCCAAAAACACGGGCTTTCGGGCACTCCCACCACATATGATAATATGTCCCTCTTGCCAAATTACATTTCCAACATGTAGGGGAAATATTGGGGGCCATTTTAGCTAGTCTTGTGGGCGGGTAGTGCCAGAAATTTGTTGTAATTGTTAAAGGCTCCGCCGATCCAGTTTTGTCTTTCTTCCTTCTCTCCAGTCCTGCCTTTACCTTCCCTCATCCGATCAACCCAGTGACATACCAACAAATTCTGAACCAGCAAAGAGGCCTGAGCTCAGCATTTGGACATACCCCTCCTTTTCTACAGCCATCTCCAACTTTCCCTGCCCGGCAGCATGTGGCTGTCATCTCGGTCAACTCCTCTCCTGCTCAGATCAGCAACAGCAGCAACTGCATCACTGAGTCCAACCAGGTAGGATTCCCAACAGCTTCTGGCAGGGTTTCAGGTGGCTTTGTTGAAAGCACTGTCACATAGCCCAGGTGAGTCTCTTAGAATTAATCTTATCAATTGTCCTGTCACTTTCAGTCATCACAACCCTGGCTTTTCGTGTTAAATTGTTGGCATCCCAAGTCTTCCCAGTTCTGGTCCCCTTCATACCATGCTCTGTCTTACCCTTGGCCAACTGTGCCTCGGTGCTCGTGCTTCTCCAGCAGTGAATGCTGATGAACTGCAGTGATCTGCCATGAAAATGAACTGGTACGCAGATTACCAAGCAGCTGCATTGCTACAAGATTAACTTAATATGTGTATTTGCCCTTCATCAGATAGCATTCTGATGACAAGGGTGCCTTTTAGTTGGCAAGTGAGGGCTAAAGGTATCTATTTGGAATTAATACAGCTATTTGTCTCCAATGTGCAGATGAATCAGTTAAAGTAAACTGAAGTTCTCAGCTTAGGTGAAATCCGTACGGTTAGTCCAATTTATATTGAAGCAACTAGTTCAAGTAATTGTGTTTCTGTGTGGATGTTCATCAGAGGTGGGATGTGAAAAATAACATTGCAAAATGTTTGCTATCCAAAGGGCTTCTTTTTAATGGATATGAAGATTTATTCCTCAGTAGAAGGTTTATCCTTTTTTTTCTAAAAAAAGAAAAGAAAAAGGGTAGGGTAGGGTAGGCAAGGCAGGTTGTAAAAAGCTCCATCAATCCAGTTTTGTCTTTCTTCCTTCTCTCCAGTCCTGCCTTGCCTGGGTTCCATCCCAAAAAGGTGCCAGAACTCCGTTCTGGGCGTTCTATGAGAAAAAAAGCCCTGATCCTGAACCATAAACTAGAGCAGGGGTCTTCAGACTTGGCTCTTTTATGACTTATGGACTTCAACTCTCAGAATTCCTGAGTCAGCATGGCTGGTTCAAGAATTCTGGGTATTGAAGTCCACAATTCACAAAAGAGCCAAGGTTGCCTACCCCTGAACTAGGGGAACACAACATACGTTGGCCAAATTTGGCATTTGGTTGTGATGTTTTGTGCTGAAACTCCAAAATGGGTGGACCTAGATAATATTTTATTTGATTTCATAAACAATTCACAGGATTGTTGCTGACATGAATAATAATTTTCCTTTACTGGTGTGTTAAAATGTAATTTTTTTCAGCAGCATTGGGGAACTCTGAGGGCCAGACCCAAGATCTTAAGTGACCCCCTCTGATCCTGGGGCTGCAAGCTCCCTTACAAAACAATGACATGGCTTGTCCATCATAGACCAACAATAATATTGTCCATTACAAGGAATATTTCGCTCAGCATAATGGCATTTGAAAAATGCAGGCAGGCTTTAAAAGAGGAAACCCCCTCCCCATTTTTTTCTTTTCCTGGATTAATTTTCATCTTGATGAACAACAGCTGCTTATCAGTCATCTGGAAATAACTGATTTCAGTCAATTTCAATGCTGCAATACTGCATTTACTTAAGCACGTCGATCATGACCATTTAACTCATCCCCATTTTATTTTTGCCTTACTAGAACAAGCAAAGCAGTGAATCGGCTGTTAGCAGCACAGTCAATCCGGTAATTAATAAACGCAGTAAAGTCAAGACTGAAACAGAGATTCTACCACCAGCTTCTCCACCGACTCAGGTAACTCTTAAAGGACAGAGTATATTCAGTGCTTGGACTGATTGGCTAGAATTTTGTAACCCTCAACTATTTGGGAAAATTGTGAATTTGTAGTAAGGAAGAAGGTAGCAACTTCAAATGTGTGATGTTCATTGTCTTCGAAATGCACTAAGTTATGGAGCCATACTGGAATTGGGAAATAGTTCTTGCTGGCTGACAAGCAATATGTCTTTCCTTTGCTGTTTCACCTAAAATTATTCAAAATTGTTTACTGCGAAGATCGGTGTCATACAAACTACATTCTTTTTCTGTATTAAATAGGCACGCTCTCTCTAGTCAGTGAGTGTTCAGGGTTGCAGTCTCAAGAACTTCAGGTACAGTTTTATTCTGAGTATGGGAATCAGTGATCTTAATTAAACAAATTTGCAAGTCACATCCTGAATAGAAAGCACTTTGAAAGTTGCATAGGCTGGAATGACAAAATGTATCAATGGAAATGTTTCGGGATCGGTGATCTCCTCCTGCACATCTCAGCGTGATTGCAGATTTCTATGAGTGATTGGGAAGGAACACTTTGGGAGTCCTTGGATCATGGCATTTTTTTTTTCAACAGACATGTCATACTGCCTCTAGGCAACTGAAAAAAAGATGTTTGATACTTCGGACTCGCCAAGCAAGTGATAATGGTATCAAGAGAGCAAAGATAGATGACAAGAAGAACTTGTGTCACAATAGGAAGCTCCCAATAAAAGACTTGCTCCTCTCCAGGAAGCAATTGCTGAGAGCAGCATCCTTTACCCCAGTGACACAGTATTTGACACCCAGAAAGGCCCACCAGTTTTCGTGTCCTTATCAGAACTGCTGAGTTCCAGGCTGCTTAATGGCTGACACACTCTCTGACGGTTCTTTATCACAATTGTAAACTATTGGGAGTGCTCTAGGCACTTCATTTTCATGAAATATGAGGCGTGCTATTGTCAAGCCAACAGAAGAGTTTATGACAAATTTCTCTTTCGGTTCCAGTTCAGAAGCGGGTTTTGGCATGATGCATGGGGACAGCAACATGTGCAATCATCAGGGGGCTGGTAAAATTGATGAAGATAGCATATCTAGGAAAGATAAACATGCTGTAGTCAGCATGATTAGGGCAAAAAGACATCTCTCTAGAGCATTTGGTTTGGGAACAGCTCGGCATACAAAGACAACAAACAACACAGGAACTGAAACAACAATCCCTCTTTACTCCCAGCTTAATCAAATCGGATAGATGCTCTATGCCAAGAGATGGGAAAAGACGATTTCCTCTCTCCCGGGAAAAAGAGTTTGTAAAGGAATGTAAGGGGCATCTAAGTGGCAGTCATTCCATCTGCCAGTGGAGATCCTGATTCTGATATTTGGCATCTGTAGCCAAGCAGGGATTTCTTCACACATTTTTACATTTAGAACTCTCCTTGAAAATATTTTACACGTGTGCCATAATATTTCCATGTGACAAATACATATTTGCACGCATATACATGTTTCATAAAAGCAGTACAATTTGCTTAAATTCCTTTTGTGTGTGCCTTTGGCCATAAACTGAGTGTGGCATTATGTAATGTAGGCCTAAGTTGATTTCAGGTGAATTCAACTTTTAAGAAGTGTAGAATCACAGCCTCAGATGGTTGCCTGCCTTGCAAACAGCAACACAAAAGCATAATCCAGGGAATGTGTGTCTTCTATCAACTCCAAAGGTCACACTTGGATTTCTGCAGCATGTCAGGGGCACTGTTTCAAAATATTAGTATTGTTGTACTCCTGGTAATCTTGTTCCTTAGAAGCTACTATGCCCTTAGAACAGAAAGCTAGGTGTAAAAAGATGGCAAGCCTTGCAGCAGTGCATTCTCATCAATAGCCCAGTTACGCTCTAAAACTATTGACCCTTTTGAATAATACAAAATTAGAACACTCTTTAGTGGGAGAAAGGGGGTGACACATGTTAAAAAAATAAGGACAGGGCCTCCATCACAGTCACTATCTTGATGTTTTTGACATGTCCTCCTACAGGCATTCTTGGTCCATTAATACTGGACAATATTGACCCTTCCCAATACATTACAATGTGTACTTGCTAGTCCTTGACTGACTGTTTATCTCTATGCTATCCTAACTTATCAAAATTTAGGGTGGTTTATAAAAATGATTTATAGAAGTAGTCTGGGGTTTCCCCAGCATTTTATAATAAGCAATCAACAGTGGGTGTTTTTGACTAATTACACCAATCTCACTGCCTCACAGCCTTTAAAGAATTATATAAAATTCAGAGTTGTGACTAGAAATCACCGTGAGGACCTAAAGAATAAAATAATAAAACAAGTCTTTTATTGATTCAGTTTGACTGTTAATGAACAGTTAATGAACAAAGTGTTGCACCTAGAGGCAATTCCCAGCAAGTCCTGAAAACCAATGGATATGAAAGAATCGGATGCCAAGTAGAGCGTTGGATGCTTTTGTATCAATGTATTTGAAGCTCTGTACGGGCACAATAAAAATAAAAGCAGCATTGTAAGGACACTGGAAAATTTAGAATTAAAGACTGCATTATGCTTAACTTTTTCATCAGAATTGGAAAACAGCCTAGTCTAGAAGAGTCATCTTTTTACTGCATCTTTAATAAAACTGATCTTTCTGAGGAGAATCTTTTTTTTTTTTAAGCAGTTTGAATTATCAGTTGTTTTAAATTCAGGCTTGAGAAATGAAGACTAAAAGATTGTCATGAATCCTCCACAGTTCAATAGTTTTAGTATAGACTTTATGTTATTTTTACTTTTGATTGGGAGCTGCCCTCAACTGGTTATAAGATGGCCATGGTTACATAAATATTTTAAATAAATAAATTATAATTAACCGCAAAGCTGGACAAACTTCTGTCAGATTTCTTTTAAACATAGGTGGGCAGCCTGCAGTTGGGAGCTGAAACACACTCACATGCCCGCCCAGCAGTGACACCCATTCCCATCTCCCCCCCCCCCTTCTCTCTCTTTCATCCCACTCCTTTCAGCAATCTTGAGCAGGATTATGGGAGCAAACAGGAAACCCTGGAATGTTTCTCTAAGGACCTCCTGAAGGTGGTGGTTGCTGGCCTGTGCAACTCCTTTTGTTGGTTCAGGGTCCCATGCAGCATCCAGGTCACAGCCTGCCTAAGCATCAAATTCATAGTTTCTGTCACCCCTTTTTATTGATGCTGGACGACCCATCAGAGTGTGATCTATCAGCTCAGTCCTCCCAAAAAGCATATGCACCATACGCTTGTGTTTATGTTTAAAGTGTTTATTGAAAATTGCACTGATTTCTTTTGCTCAATTCCATGAAATATTGAAGCGATGCTTTTTCTCCTTTTGCTTTTTCTGGGGAACACTGGAGCTCTGTTTCAGATATAAGCACATGGTTTTCATATTGTGCTTTTCATTCTCTTCAACTGAGCATCCTACACTCTATTATCTAACATATCTTTATCTTTGTATTATACACTTTATAGGAGATCGTATTTAATCAGTTCTCAATAGGATCACCCTCCTCCTGTAAGGTTTGCAGGCTGAAGGTGGATCTTGAGAATTAGGGCCCATGTGATTTATTTAAGCTGCAGGATCTTTCACTAGATTTGGCTGATATCTCAGCTATGACCTCTTGCAAATCGGCATAGTCTGGTTATGCTTATCTTTAGGGCTGTCTCTGGAACTTCAGCTGAAGCCAGACTTTATCCATTTTCTTATCTATAGATTTCTGGGTTAGATCCCTTTTCTTATGATCTCCCAACATACCAATGAAGGGAGGGGTTTGAACTTATTTTATTTGAGGTATGAGATATGAAGTAGCCACTGGGTCTTTCTCTTTTCATGAAGAATGGAAATATCCTCCATGTTCACTGCATCAAAGGCTCATTGTAAGAGACTTCTCCTTCAGCAACATGTTCTGGATTATCATGTGGTCACCTGATCATGTGAAAAGCTTAAAAATAATGCTAAACAAGGTTAGGCATGTAACTTTGCTCCTGCTTCTCCAGTCTTCTCACATTCATGTCAAGCAGAGCTGTTCATAAAGTTCTGATAACCAAAAAGTGTAATTACTTTGGTGTTCTAGGACAGTTCCCCAACCTTTTCAGCTTTGTGGGGGTGGAAGAGGGGATGGTTCCACATCAGCACCTGGCAAGTGTGTGCACAGCTCCATTGCCCACAGTTCACTCAAATGGAATGCACACGCACTCACCACTTCCACGGCCCAGTTCCAAACAGCTCACGGCCCAATAGTGGGCCACAGCCCGGGGAATGGGGACCCCTGTTCTAGGATGGCCTGGAGAAAAACTCTGCTCTGCTAAGAGCAGGAAGGGTATTTTAACAATTCAAGAAAAAGGAAGTGAAGGCCCCCATACTTTATTCAGCATACAAGGTGACCACCTTGTATGCTGAATAAAGTACGTCCACTGTTCTTGCTATAGTGCCATGGGTGTCAACGCTGCAAGGAATTTGGCTGAAGCCATTTCTACTTCGTTTTCAGTTGCCACAATATGGGAGGGGGGATGTGTGCTTTTAAGGTTAGACAAAGCAATAAATTGTCCCGTGGGAACCAAGGTCATTGCTGCCTGGGTTTTGGTGGGCTGAGCCTTCGTTAGAGAATGTGATTTATGACAGGATGCTGGGGGTGGGAAGTTCAACTTTGCAACATTGTAACCTTTGGGAGGGAACTTTAGTCTTGGTTTCACTTTTGATCGTGGGGATACTTTGTAGCCAATAAATATGTTCTTTAAGGAAACTTTCTGCCTTGGAGTTCTATTTTTACTGATCTCATCTATCGGAACCATGACATTGGGTTTTTAAGAGGAAGCCAGGCCCTGGCTAGATTTGACTTGATTTTTGCATTTGTGCCATCGTGGATTCTGTTGGGAGCAAAACATCCATGATTTTCCCCCAGTAGAAGCAGAGGCAGAATTCTTATACATCCTACATTCCTCCCTGTTTGCTTGAGTGCCTTTTAAAGCAGTAAATGGCTTATGATTTAAATCTTTAAAGGAGCCTCTTCTTGCATGCCTGCTAAATGTCTTTGGCCAGTGGTCCTCACTTTCCCTTCCCTGTTAAGAAATACTACTCCAGGGAATGTCCTGGTTCCAAGTTTGTACACAAAGCAACCCATTTTTAAAAAAACAACTTACCTGTGCTATTTTAAATCATTTCTATTAGCTTCGATCCTTTACGGTTTCTGACTTTGCAGTACCTAGCTCTTGTCTTGTACATAATATTTGTTCCTTATGTTTTGTTAACAAAAATGCATGATAAAAGCCACATCAATTTTTGAGAGCAAAATGAGTTTTGAGAAAATCAAATAGAAAAATAAAATGGCTGTTGAACACCCAGGCTGAAGATGTGTCTTTAATACAAAGCGGAATATCTGTTCACATTTTCAACCAACTGGCCAGCATATGGTGCTTGTCTCTTCATGCAAGTATATTTCAGTGCAGGTCTTCTTAAGCAGATCAGGAATGCTCTCTTCCTTCACACAATAGCACCTGCTAGCTAATCTATGGGTGACTGAGGATTTCAGGCAAAGTCAGTCCATCTTACTTAAAACGTTTTATATCTTACAGGAACTTCTGACAGACTTGAAAGAAGAACTTGATAAGGACGAATGCAAGCAGGAGCCTGATGTTATTTATGAGACCAACTGTCACTGGGAAGGTTGTACAAAGGAGTACGATACGCAGGAGCAACTGGTCCATGTAAGTGTTCTTAGGAAAGAGACGTAAGCCCTTGGACTGAGGATTTAGTCTCCCATCATATCGTGAGTTGCATAGTCATAATTCAAACTACAAAGCTTTAAAAATGATCCAACTGAGCATAGGTAAACCTTGCCAAGTGAAGTCAAATGTTCAGAAGAATGTAGCTGCAGGAAAGTCTTTGATAGTTTTCCATTTTTCCCAGCAACCAGCTTGTAAGAATAACTGTTGCCACACGCAGCCTTCTTGGATCAATACTGATCTGTTGTTGGACTTTATTGTAATCTGCAAACCTTGGTGGACTAATTATTGAGTGATCCAGTCTTGTGCTGATTGTGCAATGAAGAGATACAATGAAGAGACAAGCAGGACTACTTCTGCTTGACACTCTGCTCTCCTGGCACTCACAGTCATGTTCACTTCCTTGTCCTACCTAACAGGTGAGCATGTCCCAAGAGTCGTTATGATAGTACAGGTGATAATACCTTCCCATTGAAACTGGGCTTCTGCTAGGTCCTGCTATCCCTGCTCATGCTGTCTTATATTTTTCTAGAGGGAAAATATTAGGTAATTCTGAGTGATGACTGCCTTAGTATGAGGTGCCCTTCTGAATTAATCACCAAGTAGCTTTCTTTATTAGACTGGTATCTCACCTTTTTTCTGGAACCTCAAAATGTTGTTCATTGTAATGGTATTCTTGCGATATTTTGTGAAGTAAAAAATAATGCATTTTTCCCAATAGCAGTTCATAAGACATTCTAGAATCATCCAAAGAGCCAGTTTGATGTAGTGGCTGGAACTCAGGAGACAGTGAGTTCTGGTTCCACCTTAGGGACGAAGCCAGCTGGGTGACTTTAGGCCATCCACTCTCTTTCAGCCCTAAGAAGCAGAGAAGAGCAATCTGCTTCTGAAACTTTGCCAAGAAAACTACAGAATGAATCTTCAGCAGTCACCAAGAGTCAAAAACAGTCTCGAAGATACACACAAAAAAGGTCATCTAGTGTTGTCCAGAATTGAAATAGTGAGGATAGGCTTTTAAAAATTTCTTTATTGGTCTGGGATCATAAAACCATTTTTTTTAAAAAAAAAAATCATTTCAACAATGACTAGGCGATGATATGAACACGGTAAGGCACTAGTGAGGAAATGACTTAGCCCTTAAAGATAGGCCCTGTTTAAGAAATCAAAATCCTGCATGCTAAAACTACTTTTACAATAAGATTACAGTAACATAATCTTGGAAGTCTGAATGGACCCTGCCCCATGCAGACACCCACCTATCTTCATGAGAAGCAGGGAAGGTTTTGTCTGCAATGTTTACTCAGATTACAATTTTGTCCCAAACTCAGATTTCTTTTATCTGAATGTTGTCTTGGTTATGGGTCTTCCTCCCGTTCCTCAATGAGCATTCCTTCTGCTCATTACAATGGTCTATGAACTCTTCCTCATGATCACATTAAGGTGTATCCCTCCAATCACTGCAAAGGCAAAATAATATGTGGAGATTGCATTACTTCACTGGCTGATGCCACTGTAGTGATGCTATGTGATCCACTTCAACTCAGATGCCATTGATTCAGCACACTGCTCGGCCATAACATTTGTTGGATGCCTTTGGGCTTCAGACTTAATACTAAACCCATGAGCCTCATGCATAGCCTCTGTAGCCAGCTATAATGAAGCCTTAAAGGTGACTTGAGTCATGATATCATGACCCACACAAAGTAATTATATATTACAACATGACACCTGAGGCAGATATGTATGTTGCATTACTTGTATCATGATGCTTGTGTTCTCATTTGCTCCCACCTTGTAGGTATTCCTCTCCATTCATTCCTCCTCCTTCCTTCAATACAATAAATAAAATTACTTAAAAATTACTTTTGCTTTTAATTCTCAACAAACCAGTTCATCATTGTTTGTGCAAATGGGTTTTTTCCTATTTAAATGCAATAGTAAATGCATTTGCCCAAAACTGTTAATATAAACAACTTCTGATAGGCAAAAAAAAGTCATACCATGGCTTGCCATTATATCAAAAATGACTCATTATTTTCCATCAAACAAATTATGAGGAAGTAATGAGATAATCCTACTTTAAAAGAATGTTGTTCTAAATTCTACAGATAAAAGGAAAGGGTTTTTTTTAGCCAGTCTAAAATAGGAGGGGTTTTGCAAAACTCTGAAGAGCAAAAATCAATTGAAGAATAATCAGGAGAGCCCTGAGCCAGGGAAGACATGCTGCTGCAAAGTATTAGACAGAAATGCATATGAAGAATTAGAAAGATAACATGAGATTGTGTGCTGTATGCAGTTTATTGAAGGAAGTTTTGCTTTCACATGAATGCTTCTCCTCAAAAGTATGCAGGCTCGTCTCAGTTGAGTGCCCCTAGGGATGCAGTGCACATGTTAAATCTCAGTGTTAAATGGAAAAGAAATCCAGATTCTAAGAAGCCCTTCAGGTATTGCATTTTAAGACTTTGTATCTAGAAACAGTTATATGGTTGTGAAATGGTTTGTTTCATATTCTTTGAGATATGGATAATTATATGTAATTACATTTTTTCTGAAATGTAGTAATAAAAATCGACCTTAAAACAAAGAGTTAATACTTTAGTTTAAACTCTTTAGCAATTTAATATTTGAGTAAAATTAGAGTTACCAGGTTTGAGCTACAAGCACGAAGAAAATTACTAGATGCCAGAAAAGTTATATGAGTCTCTTGGCTGTCATCTAGTGATCTCCTATACTTTTGCAACCGTAGAACTGGGGTCCCCTGAAATCTTACAGGCCTGAGGATGCTTTGTGTTTAAAAATACATAACATAGGACTTATCCTTCTGCCATCCACTTATTTTGTTACAAGTGGTTTAGGAATTTTTCAATAATTATTTAACCTGGGGTCATTTTCAACAACACATCACTAGGTGGAGGCTGTGGACAAGCAGAGGTAATGTCAATTCATGAAGTGGAACTGGTCTTACTGTCTAGTCCAGAGGTAGGCAACCTTGGCTCTTTTATGACTCTTGGACTTCAACTCCCAGCATGGCTGGCTCAGGAATTCTGGGAGTTGAAGTCCACGAGTCATAAAAGAGCCAAGGTTGCCTACCTCTGGTCTAGTCCCATATCTCCACACTCTGTACTAGCAACCTTTGCGGTTCTAAGGATTCAGTCAGGTCAATTTCACTGTGTGACTATCATCACAGAAGACCAACCCTTTCTATGGCAGAATTACATGGTGCCCACATATGATTCTGCAGTACTCTCTTCATTTTTCTTAATAGCTGTATGTACATTACGCATTTTCCACTTTGATACTTCATTATTTGTCGTGAATTTTTCTGAAGCAACATTAGAATTCTGTTTGATATGAATGCAAGAAATCTCAGTACCCCATCAAAAACCTACAGATCTCTTCAAGCAATGAAGCGCCTATTAAACCAGCATATGTTGGCCTGAGCTTTTCCATGGGCAATAGCTAGAAGCCCAAAGAAGATGTTCTTATAGATCTAAGGGAATGAGCAAGCGAGGGACAACAAATAAGAACTGCCATATTATCACAATAAGGAAGAATCACAGTTTTTATGCTGTTGATTTAAATTGTTACTTATAGGCTTTCCTATTAGCAATGCTCTGTTTAGACCACATTTTAGGAATGAGTTAACTCTTACTTTCTTTATGTTGACGCAAAATGAACTTGTAACAGAGCTGAAGTTTACTCAGAGCTGTCTGCAATCTGAGACTGTCCTTAAATTGCAATCTACAAATACATAGAGCAAAAGAAGCTTGTTCTTGCATGTTGCCTGAATGACAAGTCCTGAAAAACAACAAGCTGCTTCAAAGCTCTTGTTGGAACAGCAGGCTATAAATGTGACAAACTGACCTAAATAATTGGGGATTGTATATTTCATTTGAAAAGAGTTCTACCATAACAGGATTAAAATTAAGAAATTCTTATGCTCTAATGTTCCTCTGACCAGGTTTTGTTGTTGCTGTGGATCTTGAAGACAACAGGTAATACTTTTGAATCCATAACACAAAGCATCTGTTGGGCAGAAGGATTTCCCTAACTAAGCGTGTATATTGATATATTTTGAAATATCTGGCACTGCCTTTTGAAGCAAGTCCTCTGAGCAGATTGCAAGTTTAAAATAGAACATTTTTTTTTCTTTTTGTGTGCCTTCAAGTCTGGACCAACCAGTCCCTGATGTTTTCTTGTCAAGGTTTTTCAGAAGTGAAAAAAGAAGTACTGGCTTTCTGCCTAAGGTCGGACTAGAACTCATGGTCTCCCAGTTTCTAGCCTGATGCCTTAAGCGCTACAACACACTGGTTCTCGAAAGAGAAAAACTGCAGGGATTTGTCCAGGCAGTCACCAGGAGTCAACATTGACTGAAGGCACCGAAAAGAAAAAAGACACAAATTACACTTAACTAAGGCCATTTATCAGAACAACTGCATCCATAATACAGTGGCAGGATCCTATTCATCTAAGAGCGATCCAGAACTTCCAGGAAACGTGTCAAGGGGAGACTCGAGCACAATAAGATTTCCTTCCATCTTCCTGGCAGAAGTGACACGGGGGATGCCGAGCCTCTCATGTCACAGCCCAGCTTCTTTTCCTTGCCTTTCAGCACATCAACAATGATCATATTCATGGGGAGAAGAAGGAGTTTGTTTGTCGCTGGCAGGAATGTACCCGGGAACAGAAGCCTTTCAAAGCACAGTACATGCTAGTGGTGCACATGCGAAGGCATACTGGAGAAAAACCCCACAAGTGCACGGTAAGCGAGTGTCACTGCGGAAGTGTGTTCAGCCTGAGGCATCAGCAAACAAGCTACTGCAGGCATGTGGCTCTCAGCTTCCCTGCCCAACACAAGCAGAAGCAGTCTGGAGCAGATTAAACATAAACTCTTTCTTCTGCTGTAGCACTGAGAGAATGAGATGGACTCTTTCAGTGGCGGGGAAGGAAAAGAGGATCTCTCTGATCTGCGTCTGATTGGAGGGAAACTCTTTTTATTACCTCAAGGTAGAAAAACTCAGGGTTTCTTTGCAGAGGTGGGGTCTGGTGCAGAAGGAGGGGAAGGGAAGATGTTCGGCAGGCGATTAAGATAACCCCGCAGTCCAATTTCAGCCCCGACCCCAAGTGTCTCCAATACTATAATCCTCCACATAAGCACAGAGCAGGTTTCAGTATGTGAAGAATATCCCTGCATTTATTACTCTCTGTATGCTTGTGCTTATTAAGTTTATAATATCCAGCAAATACCCACTGCATATCCAGCAAAAGAGCAAAGACTGATCCAGATCACAGGGAGACCTTATGCTGTATGCCACTATCTCCTGCAGATTAGCATACACAGGGCAGAACAGAGATTTCACAAAGAAAGCAACTGAATTGTTTGAATTGCAAAAGGAGCTTGCTGCAGACAAACACATCCAGTGAGCAAGGCTCCTATTCTCCTCTTTCTGCTGGTCTCCTGGTAAAGCAAATTAATTATGTCTGATTCACGTCACCCATTTAGATGTGTTCTTTATTTGAAACCCCACAAAGTAATTTGAGAATTCTAAGGGTTAAAGCAATGTCTCCTGCATCTGGGAATGGTAGCATTTAGCCAGCTGTGACCCTATTAGCACTTCTAACTTCAGAGCAAAAGATCCCTTCCACACATTGCCATAATCTATGTTAAAAGCTCATTTAGTGGGAAAATGTTCAGGTTTATTATCCAAGATTTCTCAGCCTGCCCTTGTTCTTTAAAAATCAACTGAGGTAAGGAATAGGACATCGAACAGAAGGCCAGGCTACAACATTCGACTTGCATCCTTATTCAAGATAAAGAACTGGATGGAAGACAATCCCATCTAATACCGAGATCAGGGCATAGAAATAGGAAACTGGATTGGCCAGCTGTCCTGCTCAAATATGGATGTTTGTACTCAGAATTGCTGTGTGCTGGTTAAGGTTTTTTGGTGTATTCTGCTGCAATTTAGTGACTATCCAGATCTCTGCAGCCCAGTTCTAAACATAGACTCTAACAGGAATGCTCCCTGCATGAAAATTGTGCATAAAAAGAGCCCCAACGAGTGGGTTGGTCTTAAAAAGTAAAAGCACCTGCTTTCCATCAGTTGCCCAGATTACAAATTGTATTAAAAAGGAGGGGGGGAAAGGCGGGGGAGACCTTTTCTGTCTCAGACTGCTCATGAAAGCTAAGATCTGCCTGGGATTTATTCTCTTCAAGAGAGATTAAAACCAGATGAGATGGAAAAATGCCTCCAGCTGATTAACACTCCAGTTTTCTTTTGTTTTTAGTTTGAAGGTTGCTCCAAAGCCTATTCACGGCTAGAGAACTTAAAGACACACCTGAGGTCACATACAGGAGAAAAACCTTATGTCTGTGAACACGAGGGCTGCAATAAGGCCTTTTCCAATGCTTCTGATCGAGCAAAACACCAGAACAGAACACATTCCAACGAGGTAGGGAATGTCCTTTAGCAAACCTTTTTTTTTAATGTTGATAACATAGTGATTTGTATTATAATCATACCATAGTGACTTTTTCACATTTATTGTGCTGTAAGGGGGGACGATGCTAGTTTAATACCTGCACATTTTCTCGCATAGATTGGGCCAGATGGAGTATTCCTCCTACTCAATTTTAGTTTGTATATTTGAGAAATAAATTCACCAAGCTAGCCACCTGAGTACCTAAAACTAAATGAAATGGCCGGCCTTGTGGGTGCGTAAGGCTGGCGCACAAGACAAATGTTGTATCGTCCTCTTTGCTAATTAAGATCCATTATTAGTAACTGGGGAAGGTCAGGAAGTTGCATTTATTGTACAACATGTGATGGTCTGCTGCAAATGGCTAATGCTGAGGTTGAAATTTATATTACCACTAATTAAGCAAAGGACAATAAGGGGAAATGCTCCAGAGTTCTGAAAAACCGCTGGGACTGGGTAAAGTTAATTTATAATCAAATCATGAATATACTTTATAATGAACAAGTGGAACAATATACTGTAAGCACAAGGTTTTAAAAGTGATACCTGGGTCAAAAACCTGGGGGTCATCTCAGTGATGTACCTTGAAATGTTTCCCTGGTGCTTTTGAAGGTCTTTTGCCACCTCACAAGCTTCCTTTTGAACAAATATTTTTCTTAACAAACACCATCACATATGTAAGGCTTGAGGGAAAAAGACTGTGTTGGTGGCAGAAGGCTACCAATGGTAAGAAGTGGAGCCATCAAAACCCTTGATCAAGCAGGGGAAGTTTTGGCCCCCAAGAAGGGGGGGAGCAGAAAATTAAGATAACCCAAAGTTGTATCTGCTCCCCAAATTGAAGTGCTCTAGTCTGCTCGTAGACAGCTCACATCAAGCTAGATAGATTTACCAAGAGGCAACTCATGCTGCAGATGGGATTATTATAAAACTCTCAACTCTTTCTCTCTCTCTTTTTCTCTCTTTCTCTTTTTCCTATGTCTCTCTCTTCTGGGGTTGTTTACATGTTTCTCTTCCCTCAAAGGCAAGGCTGGTGGAAGCTTCAAATGGACCCTTTTTTTTTTTAGCAGATCCAAATTATTGTATAGTTTCCTCCCTAGAGAAATGATGCTTGGCTTCTCATTATTATTTCTTTAGGCACTTAGCAAAGGCAATATTGTTTTGTCAAATGTTTAAGAATGTTGTTAGTTCAGGGCTTAATCTCTACTTTTTGTGTGTGGAAAAGTTGTAACTGTTTTATTATTGGGTTTATTTACTCATCCCTTTGCATGTCCATCAAACGAGATAGAAGAAATGTAAACATCGGAATCAATCCAGGGCTTTTTGTGAGAGGAGTAAGATAAAACTTTCCGAGTGGATTTCAGAGGACAGATCACAATAAAATAGGAACATGCTTAATAAAGGAGCTTCTAATCCATTTTGGAATAGTCTCAGCTATCTTTTATGTTGATAATTGGGATCTGCTACCAGAACTCGGTCTTAAACATTTTTGCTTGAAGTACCCTTTATAATAGTAGTAGTAGTAGTAGTAGTAATAATAATAATAATAATAATAATAATAATAATAATAATAATAATAATAATAATAATAATAATAATAAAGTTGGAAGGGACCTTGGAGGTCATTGAGTCCAACCCCCTGCTCAGGTAGGAAACTCTACACCATTTCAGACAAATGGCTGTCCAGTCTCTTCTTAAAAACTTCCAGTGTTGGAGCATTCACCGCTTCTGGAGGCAGGTTGTTCCACTGGTTAATTGTTCTGTCAGGAAGTTTTTCCTTAGTTCTAGGTTGCTTCTAATTATCACATTTTTAAACTACCCATCTCCCTCACAGAGAGACTAGTTTCCCTATAATCCTATTAGAGACTACAGAAGGGCCATTGAATGAATGTAAGGCACTCTTCTTACCTGGGAAATTAATTTCCTTCTAGTCTTACCCATCCATCTTAGAAATGGGTGAATCAGCTAGTGGAATTTTACATTTCCTATAGATAGGGAAAACAATATCTAAATCAGAATTAGGGAAAGTAGAAAAGTATTTTGCACTAAAGCTGAGCAGTAAACTAGCATTCTTTGGATGGTCTCCTTCTGAATCTAATGGAAAAAGTCTTTAAGCAGCCTGAAGCAGAATTTTACATGAATCCAGCCTTTCAGAAGGAGCGACCAGAACTATCTTGCTGAAAGCAGATTTGAAGAAATGTGTTTGGATTTGGGGGAGGGTGTGTGTGTGTCTTCCCTGCTTGTTTGCTTGCTTCTCTCTCCAACTGTAGAGCCTGTTTATTTGTGCTGTGCTTATCAGTGGCTCAAATTTTCAAAGTTATCATATCATCTTCAAAAATCACTGTGGGGCTTTGGATTTCACTCCACAGCATAAATAGCTACCAGTTTGACAGCTGGTGGAGATGTGGGGAAGATCTGATGGGCTACAAATCCAGTTCAGATTGACTCCTGGTTTTCTGTAGAATAGGATGTCTCTCTCCCTCCCATCAATCACCCAAGCCAATTATATTTCAAAAGAAAAGTTGCCCTAAAGAGATTTCTTGCATGTCCCAGCCACATCCCATGGTAATCTTACTAATGCAGTAATTTGAACTAATGGAAATCAGTCCAATGCAATTATTGGGCAAGGTGTTAAAATGCTTTGATGGGGACCCTGTGACAATTCACAATTTCTCATTTTCAGCTTGGAGTTTGCATTTGCAGGATTCTTACATGCTTTCATTGATTATGAATACCTAAGAAGAATGAGTAGATCCAAAGGAAGGCCATATCCATATCAAGATAGTTTGCAAACCAAGCAAATCTCACAAAGCAAGCTACCTACTCCTAAGGTGTTCCTCCTTCAGCAACATTAAGGAGATCCCAAATTGTAAAATTACTATCTGAGTAGTGATAGTATCTATGATATGTACACAATTTGCCATATATTTAAAACGTTTCAGCCCCATGTCACAAAATAACAGAATAACAGAGTTGGGAGGGACCTTGGAGGTCTAACTGCTGCTCAGGCAGGAAATCTTATACCATTTCAGATAAATGTTGTCCAATTTCTTCTTTAAAACCTCTAATGTTGGAGCACCCACAACTTCTGGAGGCAGGTTGTTCCACTGATTAATTGCTCTGTCAGGAAATTTCTTCTTAGTTCCAGGTTGCTTCTCTCCTTGATTAGTTTCCATCCATTGCTTCTTGTCCTCCCTTCAGGTGCTTTGGAGAAAAGGTTGACACCCCCGCTTCTTTGTGGTACCCGTTCATTTGATTTTTCTTGCCTAAATGTTGAACCTTATTTTTCTCACATACTTTTCTCACATTCTCACCATTTTCTCTCCACGAAACTGCCACTAAAATACATATCTCAGCTGTTTTATTCTCATTTTGGTGAATCACTTCATCTTTGTTACTTTTGGCAGAAACCCTATGTCTGCAAGATCCCAGGCTGCACCAAGAGATATACAGACCCCAGTTCTCTCAGGAAACACGTGAAGACAGTGCATGGACCCGAAGCCCACGTCACCAAGAAGCAACGCAATGACATTCATCTGAGGCCACCTGTCCTTAAGGAGAATAATGACAATGAAGCAAGTGCCAAGCAGAGCAGCAGGTCTGCTGAACAGCGGGCTGAGGCAAACAGCACCACCACAGGCACAGAGGACAGTTTACAAGTCAAAACAATAAAGACAGAGAAGTCTGTGGTAAGAGACGCTTTAGTTGACTTGTTGGTAGTACTGTATAATTTGGAGCAAAGAGATATTAACTCTTTCTCCACCCCACCCTGAAAAACACAGATTACAATCTTTTCAGATCTCCTAGTTTACATTTCGCCTTAGCCCACCTCCAACTTTTTCAGCATTTACATATCAAATTTAAGACTTCATACATCCACAGACATGGTTATTAGGTATTACCAAATAAAAGGTGAAAAGTTAACATTTGGAGTTTCTCTTTGAGAATGGGAAGGTTGTTTTTCCTGATGAGTGAAACAGCAGGCTAGCTTTTACATCACACTGTGATTAAAATTTGGTAGGATTCCAGGAGCAATCCATGAAATACAATTGTCCATCCTCAGAGAGATAATATTTTGAATTTTAATAACACATAAAGCTACAATTTCCAGAGGGGTAAACTGTATTAGTCTTTTGTACAAAGACATTATTTTTCTGATACCTGTATATTCTAAGCAAGATCATAATTATGCTCTATCCTAGTATTGTCCATCTGGTTCTCCAAATTATTATGAAAAAAATGGTTTGAAGGCTCAGTGTGAGAAGGTCCAAACCACGATTCAGATGTAGAGCTCTATGCCCCATTCTTGACATATTCCCCAAATTATACCCTCTTTAAAAAATCCTAGCAAAGATGTGATAGCACTTTACTACTCGTGACAATGCCCACCTCAGCATCTGCTCTGCTTTTCTTGCTTTCCTCAATTGTTCTTCTTTAGTTGCAGTATTAAGTGACACAGGCAGGCATGATAACTTGGGAATCTCACCATGAGGATAAGAGCATTTTGCATTGAATTGAGAAGATGAGTTGAACAGAAGCTTGTCTATTGTGCTCTTTGTCTTAATTTTGACTAAAAGTCAGTGGAGCTTCTCTCCTCTAGAAAGAAAGATGGAGAAGAGGACATATTACTTAAAATACTAAATAAACACTTCTTCCCAACAGAACCTATGGAAGGAGTACATATTTGTGTGTGGCCTGGTCTGGTTTTATTCATCTGACTAAAATATGGGCCATAGCATATTCTTTCGAAAGTAATGCAGACTTCAAAAGAAAAGAAAACTTGACCATTCCTTTTTAAAAAAATAATATTAACAGTTATTTAATACATGAGACTAATAATATTAACAGTTATTTAAACCATTTGATGCTGTTACTATAGTAATTATCAATTCTGCAGAATACATTGGTTCTATATGACCAGGCGACAGGTGAGGCTGAGAAATACGTACCTTAAATTCATTGCAGATAATCATTTAGCAGGTAGGTCAGTGCTATGATATACCAGAATTAAATATAAAACCAGGATACATTGAACAGGTATCCCTAAGAAAATGTCAACAAGAAATACGAAGTGCATTACTGATGTTTAAATAAGGTATACATTTTTAATGGTAGTGATAATATAGAAAGCTATATTTCACGTTCTATATATTTGAGTGGTAAATATATATTTCAACTTACTTCAGGACATCTGGGTGAAGGAGTGAAATTATTTCTGGAATGGGATACTCTGATACTTATGATGAGACATCAGTATTGATTCTGTACCAAGACATATTGTCACATTTGGATTCTACAAAGTACCTTATACAATGATGGTAGTTTTAAAACAGATTATAAATGTGATGTTACAGACATTCAAGCGGTGTTTTTTTCTGTGCCGTGGCTGTTGCTAACCTGCCATTATTATTTTATATATTTTTTTTTTGCCTCATGTCTTGTTCCATCAATAACCTCAACCCCTTCCCCTTTGTGTTGTCTGCGTTCTAACAACCTGTTCTTTCTCCTCTCTTAACTTTTTCTACTCAACTTCACAAGGACAGTCGGTACTAAGGTGAGCAAATACCCTGTCTTTGTCAAAGTCTCTTACAAAAGACATAATGTGCTTTGTCCTGTGTATGTGGCTAAGCAAACCAGCTGTGTGGTCTCTGTAGAGCTACGATGGCCTGTTTGGAAAAGCAGCCATAGTTAAGTATCTGTTACAGTGGTCTGCAATTCTTTCTCTCTCATTCTTTTTATGTTGGCATTCCACAAGTAAACTAACTATCCTATTGAGAACCCACACCTATAAAATTCATTAGACAAATCCTCCCTGGTCCAAAATTTATGGGGGAGTGGTAATTCCTCAATTCAAGATGCAATTTGGAACAGACAACTGACTCTCTTTTGAATTAAATGTTCAGCTTAAGATACACTATGGTGTGAAATATGTGCTCCCAGCAAAACTAAGTACAGGTGGTCCTCGACGGTCTGTTGCTAAGTGAGACAGTTGTTAAGTGAGTTTTGCCCCATTTTCCAACTTTTTCTTGCCACCGTTGTTAAGTGAATCACAGCAGTTGTTCAATTAGTAACACCGTTGTTAAGTGAATCCAGCTTCCCCCTTGACTTTGCTGGTCAGAGGGTCACAAAACGTGCTCACGTGAGCCCGGGACTCTGCAGCCGTCATAAATGTGAACCACTTGCCAAGCATCTGAATGTTGATCACGTGACCATGGGGATGCTGCTGTGTCATAAGTGTGAAAAACGGTCATAAGTCACTTTTTTCAGTACATTGTAACTTCGAACAATCACGTTGCAAGTTGCTGTAGTGCCACCTGCCATTTATATACAATATTTTAAGAAGTGGCAGAAATATTATATTCCATTTCTGTGTTCACGTTAGCCAAGTCCCTGCTGTTATAATAACATTGTAGTGTTGGGCCTCTTTGGTTATGAACTGCATCACCTGCATCCTCTTGTTAGCACTTTCCACCTTTTGAGAAAAGGCTTCTTTTCCCTGTCCATTTACAAGTAATCTTAAAATATACTTTGTCCATAAGAAAATCCACTTTGATAACCGTTTGTTCCTCTAGAACAATGTTGTGCTAGAAAAAGAGAAAAGTCATTTCAACTCAGCCGTTCCCAGTCTATAGCCACAGAGGGCCAGCAATCATAAATCACGAGGCCATGGGCCAGACAGCAAACGGGGAAAAAAAAACAAAAAAGCCTTCCTTTGAGGGAGCCAATACAGGACATTTAACTTTTATTGCAGATAAATTACCTAATGTGAAACGTAATTCCTAATAAAAAACATTTACCAAACCAAGTCTGCAAATCATGCCCTTATCTGCTTATAAAGACTGTCAGCCAAGCATGCTGCTGGCCTTTGAAGCAAAGGGCATATACGGTGCCTAAAGCATTACAGGTTTGATTCTGCTGCAGATAAACAGGCACATTGCAGAAGGGGAAATGTACTCAGGTTCCAGGTTTATCTGACAGAAGCATCAAGAGCTTAGCTTTTCTTGAGAGAGAGCACATATAATTCTTTGCTAACAAAAAGAAAAGAAAATGCCCCCCTTGGCTTTTAGCTCCCTGCTGTTTACATACCCCTGCTTTAAAAAGTCATAAAAATTAAGTATATCATTTCAGTGGCTTATCTGATGGAAAAGCCTGTGCCCACACTACAGTGCCATCACACTTGTCGGCAATAATAGGCACATTGGTTTATCGGGTAATGAGGATTTGTTTACCTAAAGAACAGATCTGGCTTAAATGAAAGTTGCAATGGGCCTGAATACTCTTAATGCAGTACTGAATTTCAGCACTGAAGGCGGACTTAAATTGTTCTTCAGTTCTCCCTCTCGTGCTAATTTAAATCTGAGAATATTTAATACGATGCCTAAGCTTAAGTCAATAAAATATTTTTGTTTAATCAAATTTGTGGTAACCACTCAACTCCAGTGGAATTTGAGCAGCGTACAGGATCAAAAAATGCATAAAAACGAAATATAAAACCACACGGATAGCCCACACTAAAACGGTCTTGAACACAGATCAGTACAAAACACACACACATACACACACACACACACACATAAACGAATACACTAATCCCAGGCCTGAGACCAAACAAGCTTTGAAGAACACAATCTGAGCTTTCAGAAAGAAAAATTAAAACTTTCTAGGATAAACAATACAACTCTCAAGATGCCTCAATAAGCATTCCAAAGCTTCGTGATTTTTTTTCTCTCTCTTTGTCTGCAGGGGAATTCTTTAATCGGTTAAATCACTATAAAAAAAAACTTACAGGGTTTAGTTAAGAAAGTCCTCCCCACCCATCCCTGGTAAGATTTATTTTCTTGGGCCCTGAAAGCATCTATAATTTATAGCTAATTTCTGACATGTTCAGATAGACACCAGAAATATTTCAATCTTCTCAATGCTATTTTTTTCCTAATTTTCATTTATCCACAATGCGGTTTAAGTTAAGAGGGTATTAACTCATGGCATTTTTGTTAACCCATCCCAGTCCAATATATTTTGTGATGATGTCATGGACCAGTCACCAACTCAATCATTTGGGTCATCGCAGCTAATCAGATTAAATGTAATATGGGGAAATGAGGCAGAGGAGAAGGCAAAGAAATAAGAAAAAGAAATGAAAAACAAAGATGTGCCAAGATATGAAGTAATCAAAGGATGTCAGAACACTCCAAATGTTTGGCAGAATGGTATATTTGCTAGTAATTCATTTGATGTGTCTCATTCGTGTTAATTTTGCAGTGAATTGTTTATAGAGCCTTAGTTTATAGAGCTAACTAAGGACACGAGGGGAAAACCTGGAATGTCTCCAATTGGTGGTCTTTTCTTTGCTTCTTTAAGATGTATCAGTCCAGTCCTGGTGGCCAATCATCCTGCAGCAGTGAACCATCACCTCTTGGGAGCATCAACAACAATGACAGTGGAGTGGAAATGAACATGCACAGTGGGGGAAGTCTGGGGGACCTGACTGTGTTGGAGGATAATACTCCTGTTGTGGACTCGACAGTCTCATCTGGTAACTCAACTGTCGGTCTTCAACTAAGGAAAAACATGACAGCAATGCAACGCCTTGAGCAGCTCAAGAAAGAGAAACTCAGGACAGTGAAGGATTCTTGCTCATGGGCAAATCCAGCACCACAAGTCAAAAACAGCAAGCTGCCTCCTATCCCAGGCAATGGTAAGCCAGCCTACTATTTTATATCTATCCAACAGTGTTTCTGAATATCTTTCCTATATTTAAAACAGTGTTGGAGGCTCAGCTGGGATCCAAACCTATAAGATGAGCCAAATAGGCACACAAAAACCCCTTCCCTTGTCTCTACTCCAATATCACATTGTAGTATTGCTTTTGTGTATTTCTTAACTATTATGAGAACTACTCATCACATTGTAGTATTGCTTTTGTGTGTTTCTTAACTGTTATGAGAACCAGTGCGTGAGATATAAACTTAAGAGTATATGCCAACTCGAAAGAGAATGTGATCTAAATTTTACCTAGACAAAATATGTTCTATTCCAATGTTCAATATTCCAGTCTTTTCTGCCTTCTTGAAAAATAAAGTGCAAGTTCATACTTGAAACGGAAAATGGGGATGTGCACACCAGCATCTCTTGTGATGTCTGTCTTGAAAGAGATAACATCTTGCATTATACTTGAAGGTTTCTTGACTTAACAGAAAATGAACAGGAGTATTGGGATGGTAGCCAGTTTTGAAATATAGAATTATGACTTGAACAGATGTACATTTTGTTTTGCTGTTTAAGTAGTGTACAACAAAATTAAGGTTTTCTTTGTCCAATTTTGTTGGACCACTTTCCACTTTCCAACCTACTTTATCTATATGTGTGAGCTGGATAAGTATCCAAGTACAATAATGGGATGCCTTTCTTTTTAATCGCTGACCAATAATCTTACTCTCTCTTTCTCATTTTCTTTCAGGTTGTCTGCTGGACAATATGCGTGGCACCTCAACAATGCTGCTTAACCCAAGGATAACTGAGCTGTCCATCAATGAAGTTACCATGCTAAACCAACTAGCTGAACGCCGTGACAGCTCAACCAGTACCAACAGTTCTGCCTACACAGTCAGCCGCAGATCATCAGGAATATCCCCTTACTTCTCCAGCCGCCGTTCCAGTGAAGCTTCTCAATTTGGAAATCGCCATAACAACACAAGCTCTGCTGGCTCCTATGATCCTATTTCCACAGATGCCTCTCGCAGGTCAAGTGATGCCAGTCAATGTAATGGGGTCTCTGGTCTCCTGAATCTCACACCAGCTCAGCAGTACAGGCTGAAAGCTAAGTATGCTGCTGCCACAGGTGGCCCACCACCTACACCATTACCTAACATGGAAAGAATGACCCTGAGGAATAAAATCTCTCTCCTTGATGGTTCAGAGCCTGCTTTGCCTTCATTTCGTCTCCCTCCAGGGCCAAGGCGTTGTAGTGATAGCAATGCTTATCTGTATGGGTCATCACCTGCATTCTCTCATGAAGTGCCTGGGAATAGTACAAGACGGGCAAGCGATCCAGTGAGGAGACCTGCTGGAGACCCAAGCTCCTTTCCTAGAATCCATACTTACAATAGCACCAACAGCATGAATCTTCTTCACCCTCATGCAGACAGAAGACAATTCAACCTTCCAGTCTTTCCACATTCAGACAGGAGCCTTGCTAGGCATGTGTATTCTCCACGACCCCCAAGTATTAGCGAAAATATTGCCATGGAAGCCATGCCCGGTGAGACAGATAGTTCTGTGGGAGATGATGATATTGTCCTACCTGATGATGTGGTACAATACATCAAATCCCAAAACAATGGGATTGCCACAGAGAACTCTTCTACAGGGTATGCCAGTGAAATGCAAAACTTCCAAGTAAATGCAAAAGTGCAAAATAACAACGCATTAAACCAGCGCAGAATGGCTGTTCCAGATCTGAGTATGAACCATTCGACCTCTGTTGGTGGTGGATGCCAAATAAACTATGGGGCTAACTCTAATTTGCATAAAAATAACATGCCAGTCCAGTGGAACGAAGTTAGCTCAGGAACTGTTGATGTACCCTCCTCTCAAGCAAAACAGCAGTTCCCTCAACGGAATCTAGCTGTATTCCATCAGAAGCAAAATTTTGGTCAGTATCAGAACTTCAACCAACAGCAGTTGCAGGTAGGCCAAAACAACACAAATGGAAATCTGCAGCAATTTGTGCAGAAGAATGCAACCATGGATGGACAAAGGCTCAACTGCATGCACTTAAAGCAGCAACAGGTAAATCCAGGTTCTGGTAACAACCTAGACCTGAACTCCCATGAGGTGTTCAACCAAGTTCATCAAATGCTAAGTCCAAATACGATGGGCAGTGATGTCACCCAACTTTCTCCTTCCTGTAATAACATGACCATGAAGCCTGCATTCCATGTTCGTTCTCAGCAATTAGATAATGTAGCTGATCCCATTTCAATAGTTAACAATGGTAGAGAATATGTCATGCATAGTCAAGACATGCAGGAACCAGGGTATCAGCAGAGCTTTTCATCTCAGTCAAGCCACATGAACTTCTCCATGACCCAAGAGGATTTCCACCAAGCTTCTGCATTAATAACCTCAAATCAGCCAAACTTTGAGCCACAACAGAATACAATTGGCACCGTTGGACAGAGCTTCGCTTCCTCAATGATACAACCTCATCCTCCACCTAATTCTAATCCAGGAAATAAGCACCAAGGAGTCCGTGCTGGGCAGCAGTTGGGATACGTGAGAATATCTCACCCAACAAATGATGTGAGCTCAGGGCAGCAAAGGGCACACTCTTCCCCCAAGAGAACAACTGGTATAGGATCGTTGCAACCACAGTTTAACAGTAGTATGAGGGAAAGCCATTTGATGCACTATTACGGTCAAATACATATGTATGAACAAAATGGGAATGTCAACAATCAAACCGATTACAATGTCAGACAACAATGTGCGCTGAACACCAAACCAGCCACCATGCCTTCCCCTGGTGCTAATCAAGTTTCTAGCACAGTGGATTCTCAGGGTCTGGAGTCTCCTCAGATAGATTTTGATGCTATCATGGATGATGGCGACCATTCAAGTCTGATGTCAGGAACCTTGAGCCCTAGTATCCTGCAGAATCTCTCTCAGAATTCTTCTCGCCTTACAACTCCCCGAAATTCTCTGACACTGCCAGCTATACCAGGTGGAATTAGTAATATGGCAATAGGGGACATGAATTCTATGCTGACCACCCTGGCAGAAGAGAGCAAATTTCTTAACATGATGTCCTAATGCACGGGTATCAAACTCGCCGCGTCACGTGACGTGTCGTGACGTATCACGACTTTTTTTGCATTGATGGAGCAGGGGTGGGCACGGCGTCCGTATGATGCCACCGGCCCACAGGCCGGCAGTTTGACACCCCTGACCTAATGCATAAAGCACAGATGTACCTCTAGGTATATCCAGAGATTATGTGCTGGGCAATGTTATGAATGTGCTTTTCTTTTAAAAAAAAAGAGAGAGAGAGAGGGAAGGGAAAAAAAGTTGCCATAGAGTAGACTTTTACAAGTATTAAAACATATTAAGGGAATTCCAAGTAAGAAAAAAAATATCTTTGTACAAACATGCATAAACTATGTAAAAAAGCACTGAAAGGATGCACTTCTAGTATTATTTTGGTGCTTATTTTGGGGGGTGCTGAAAGATGCCACCGTCCTTCTTAAAGTGCTTCTAAAGTGTGTCACCGTTTATAAAAGGTAGACACATTGAGAATCCTTTCAAAAACCTGACTGTCGTTGCCACCATCCCTTCCCTTGTTAGCTTGCAAGGGGTTAACATTTCTCAAACCATCAACCTCAAAATTAGATGGCACTTTGCCAGTTGTGGGACACTCAAAAGCCATGTGTTAAAACAGGGGTCTTCAAACTTGGCCCTTTTATGACTTGTGGACTTCAACTCCTGGCTGAGGAATTCTGGGAGTTGAAGTCCACAAGTCATAAAAGGGCCAAGTTTGAAGACTCCTGTGTTAAAATAATGAGAATCAATGTTTCAAAGAAAGCTTTACTTTTTGCAATCTCCTTTTACCTATAGCTGCAAATATGCCTTGTCCTCCCTAGTGAGAGTTATAAATTTAACCATATGCAAAGCCATACTATAAATGCTTCATGCTTTGCTTATGACCAGATGTGCATGCATGCGCAGACACACACACATACACACATACCTTCATTATTACAGCCAGTATCGCTCTTTGTATCTTGTAGCTTAGCTGAGAATCAGCTTTGCAGCAAAGTGCCTTACTGTGCATTAACAGTTGAGTCATCAAGGCATCTGTTGTCCAATAATGTCCAATAAAGTGTATTGCCAGAAGCATATATAAAATAAAGGTGCATTTATATCAGGCAACACAGCATTGCTAAAAAGAGATTTGAGAGAGACACACTGATGGGGAAATGTGAAAAACTGAATGGCCTAATGGGTTTTGGTTTGTTTGTTTTTTTCTAATCAGAGGCTATCATGGAGAATGTAGTGGAGGTTTGAAAATCAAACTAATTTAAAAATATTGTTGGGGAAAAAACCCTATCATGCATGCATGGTGTGACACACAGATCACTCTGTGTGGTTTGTGTGACTTCACTTTGGAATTGCTCATACAAAAAGAACAGGGTTGGAGTTTGTTAAATATGACATAAAAATGATGCTGCAGAAATGTGTACATTTTTAAGTCATAAAATTTGCTCATCCCTCCCAGTTATGTTTAATTACAGACTGCATGAGTTAGCTCTGACTGATATGTCACTTTGGAGATGGCCAACTGGCTTTGGTAAAAATGATCTTCTGTTTGCTTGGCCAGTCGTAATATCTCAGTCTCACCTTGCAGCATTATTGTGAGATTATAAAACTGCTCAGAGTTCCTTGGAAAAGAGGGGTAGCACAGAAAGAAAATAATTTAAGCATGAAGTTAATAAATAGTGCCACGCGCCTCTCCAAACCCACGGTTGGAATTCTACAGTGGCATGATCTCTTGAAGGCTTAGTGTAGCTGCTTTGAAGACCTTCCCATATTGCCTAAGCATGGAGAAAATAAGGAAATTCAACAGCCGTCCTTCAGAAGGGTCTTCTGTGTCTTTGCCATTGTGCTCAGATGAAATGGGAAGGCCCTTGAAAAGCCAAACCTTCAAGATAGCATGAGTGGTAGAATGGTTTGTCCAACCCTAATCTGTTCAGTGCTACATGCTCATCAACTTGGGCTCATAAAAATGAACAGTGCCATTATGGCAAATTTGTAGTCAATTATGCATATTATGGCATCTACGTTGCCATCCATTTGCCGCGTGTTTAGCTAATGTATATTGTTTATATACCTAACCCCTCCAATAAGAAGAGAGAGTACATCCATGCCACTGTCTCTCTCTCTCTCTCTCTTAAGATAATTTTTGGTGTCAGTAAGCATCTCCTGCCAAAACTGCATGTCATCCAGAAGTACTTGCACTGCATAATTGCATTAATTAATTCATGCAAACCATTGGGGCTGTTTATGCATTTATCTAATAGAATTTTGGAAAGCATTATTTGGAAAGAGGAAATTATGAGATCAGACAATCATTAAGGGCAGAGATTCCAGCCAGGAAAAGCTTGTGAAAAAGTAGAACATGAAATCAGGCAGCTACCAATTGCCAACACAGGGTAGGGTGAACATCAAATGTAAAAACCTTGATGTACCAAGGTTTGCATTTTTATAAAGGGGCTCACTAGATTTGGGTTAGGGTATTCAAGCCCAAATCACGGGCACTATATATCAACATACATCAGTATCTGTCTAGCCAACATTTCTGAGTAACTGCTGATAAAACAAATTTCACTCTCCTATACAGCTTCTGCTTTTCCAAATCTGCTTCAGATGGTTGAAGTTTTGCTAAAACAGGTTTGAAAGCACACCAAAAAGAGGAGCAGAGGAGACCAAAAAAAAAAAAAAAAAGGAAAGTCCAATTGCCTTCTTTTGTGACCTTAGAGTTAGCTCTATGGGTTTTATGGTTCAGCAGAATTACAAAAGCATAGCTGTAAAAGGATGGTGTACTACAAATTCCCCACTTCATATATATTTATACATTTGATTAGAGTGATTTGTTTCATTATTTATTTTTGAACTTTAAAAAAAGGAGATGTAAACCCAGTTCTTTAAAGAAATAGGGGGCCCCAAGAGTGTCTTTGCTCATTTTTTTCTATCATTATTCTGTATCAGAATCTGATCCCTTTGCAGTGCCATTTATCCACCTTGTAGCCTCTACCTTGTAAATACACAGTCAGGCAAACAATGCCAAGAGTCTGATTAGAATGACTTGAATGTGGACCATTCTGATTGTGTCCAAGCATCTGGCCATAAAGTTAAGGCAGTGACACTTCTCTCTGCCTCTTTCCATACATAAAGGTATGGGAGTTTTGAATAACCATGATTACATCAGGAAATGCCAATATAGGAATGGTTATCACCTTAGCATGGGAATATAGGTCCCATTTAATCACATAAGAAGGATGACTTGCCATACTGATTATAAACAGGAGATGGATGACCGTCTCACAGCTTTCCCTGTGTCTAATATTTAATGCCATAGGAAAGGGAACTCTTTTCTCATATCAGAGTTTGTTGTGGCAAAATTTTCTGGATAGTACATTTCCATACCCATTTCTTATTAGTTATCCTTTCCTTTGCCTGTATATTTTTCAGTGTCATCAGGAAAAATTACTTTGATTATGTCTTTCACCATGTTAAAGGTTAACCTGCAGAATATGTTTACTTAGGTGTCCCAAGAAAACCAATGTAGTATTCCAAAAATGTATTATTTCTGGTTTTTTTTATTCATGATGGACAATGGAAGACTTCAAAGAAAGTGAATGGCAGAGATGGCTACAGTAGTTCTTCTCAATACATCGGAATATTGCACATCTTAAGGCAGGACAGGAAAGTGAAATTTAAAAAAAAAACAAATTCAATTATTTCAGTAGGATGACAGTGTTGCTATTGGCCTACTAATGTGGGCCTTTTAGATCTGTTCATAAGACCATGCTCAAGTGATAATTGTGTAGCATTACACACATGATTTGGTTGTGTGACCCGCCATCCCCATCGCTTAGAATTGTCTTGATATAGAATAAAAATAGCACAAAGTTTCAAGGAGCTAAGAAGATATTGGACATTCCACAAACCATCAGGATGCCTAGTTGCAGGAATGTATACTGATATGAACCCCGATAAGCATTAGTAAATGCAAACACAAATGATTTGCTCATTATTTTCTTCAATTTGTCAATGGTGGTCTCCCTTTATTTACTGTAATAGTATTATAACAAGAAAACTGGCTCTGTATATATTCTGTATAGAAGGCACTCATTATTAATAAGAGTACTGTAGCTGAATTGTTCTGCCTTTATATCTCCAGGAGCTTTTTATCTGTTTTTTACATCGTACGGATGGCAGTCATATGCTAAAACTGTATATAAATGTTTTGTACATTAAAAAAGTAATTTTTTCATAATTTCTGTTTTTATTCATTATTGTTCAGGCTATGTCATAAGAAAAAGGCACAAAACTCTGTATCATTACACATTGCATCATTATATGTATTACATTTTATAAGCATTTATTTCTTTATTTTAAACATTTATATAGCCGCTCATTTTATATCAAGCACTGGGCAGCCCCCAAACAGCAATTAAAACAATATCAGTAATGAAACAACATAGTATTTTAACATATCAAAACCATAAACATTAAAAGATAAACTTTTGACATACAGTCCACTATAGAATCTTGCATATGTTTGAGCTGTTATTCTATACAATTATAGTATGAATTTGACATATAATTTACAAATACAACGCAAAGAAGTAGTGCAAGATAGGCAGATGTGGAGAGACCTGGCCCATACAATTGCCAATGGGTAACTGGACTGAATGGATAACATCATCATATAAGCATCTCACTAGGATGCTACAATTGGCTGCAGCTCCTTATTTAGAGAAATCTGGGGAAATGGATAAAATGGGGATCCACCCCTGCGTATCTTAGTATTATCAGAGGGGGGGCAAAAATTCTGCCTGGTGACGGACTTGCCCATCCTTGCAAGTCCTTTCTCCCAGTCCATACAGAAACCTTTACAGACCTACTGGGGGTTTGATATGCGCTTGAAGAAATTCCAGATTTATTCCTCCATATTGTGTGAGAAATCCTTGGCTATTCTAGAGTAGATCCTGTTAGAACATGGGTGTCAAATTCGCCATGTCACGTGACGTGTCATGACG